TCTGTTCAGAGTGTGTGAATGATAGACTAACCCTTTTTAGAATGATAGACTCCCAGGGGTCACACTGCAGCCCAGGGGGTCCATTGTTGCTGCCCCTCTGCAGCCCCTCTCAGCTGCACTTGACGGCGCTTTGCTGCGATGTGTGTTTGCTCTCAGGTAGAAGAAGCAGCCGATCGCTCGTTGCCCTCCACTTCGCCTCACTGCTTCTTTTATAGCGGCTCAAATCGGGCCTCAAAGAGGCTGGATACTCAAACCCAACGGCAACAAACTCCCACTAGACGTGGGACGAGAGCAGAAATATCTGCAAATTCAAGCAGAAACTTTACAGCTTGAAACAAAAGGAGAAAAAACCTCAAAGTATCTGTAGAGAGACCATTCTTAGATCAAGAAAAAAAACTAAACTAGAAAAATTTTAAATAAAAAAAAACTGAGAAATCTAAATGCATTTACAAAATGCATTTACAAAATAAGTAAAAAAAAACAAAAAAACAAAAAGCTTAAGAATATATAAATGTTTCATAAAATGCAGATAAACATGTTGCTAAAAAGAAAAAATAAAACCTCGAGCACTTTTCGCAAATAAACAGCAACAGAAATGCAAAAAAGCACAATTTTATCACGTAAAACACATTAAAAGTAACATTTGAAAACAAAAATAAGTAAAAAAAAAAAGACAGAAAACCTCAATATTTGACAAGAATTACCCAAAAAGCACAATATAAAACCGAGTCATGCAGATCAAATAAAATCAAGAGACAATATTTAGAAAAATATATTTTAGAAGAGAAATAAAAAATAATGTGAAAAATACTATAAAACAGATAATTAGATTAAAGATAATTTAAAAACGGTTAGAAAATAAAAAAAGATAAAATATTGTTGAAAATTGAAACCATAAAATGAGGAACGGAAAACAACAATAAATGAAATGGAAAAATATTTTTGCTTCGTTCTTTTAGAAATTAATACCTAAATAACAATAAACAAAAGAAAAACATGAATAAAACATTTTAATGCAACCAAAAAACAAACAAACCCAACAGCAGTGATTAGCTGTCATTTTATTTAACACTTTGGCTGTAATATTTAATTTCTATTGTCCAGCTGCTGAATGTTATTCTCTGTATTCATTAATGACGTTTCCTCTTGTTTTCTGCCTTATGAGGCAAAAATGAAAACAAATCCAATCTGAACTGGTTCATATCATCGTTTACCTTTTTTTTTGTCAATATTAGAGCCAATCAAACAAATTACAATATAAATTCTTATTTTACATATACTCTTATTGATACACTTAATATAATACTGAGAAAATGGTGCATAAAAAGGAAATACAGTTTCAGCATCTTTTTTTTGTTGCTTTTACTCTCTTAAATCACCACTTTATTTTACTTTGTCATAGGTTTTCTGTCTTTTTTTGTTAAATCTTTTTAATCTATATCAGTTATTTTCTTCCTAACAGTCCTGCACAGACACAATGTAAAATAAAACCTGTTTTTTAGAACCATTTTCCTGTGAAGCCAATCTAATTTTCTAAAGAAGGAGCACATTAAGTTCCTGCAACAGTTTGAAAAGGCCGACCGCTCTCAGCCACAGCCCTTTAACCAGGAGTTAATTATCCTTTTTATTCTCCGTGAATGAGTTAATTGATTAATGAGAACTGTTAATGGATTTATCTGTAAACAGCCTCTCTGTTTTCCAGCTCTGCGCTGCGACTCGGAGACGAGAGGCTCGTTCAGATCCTTCTGTTCGCTTTAATTAAAAACTCAAGAATCGGCCTCTCAGAGGGATCGGCCTCCGCAGCTCCTCTGTGCTCCGGGTCTCCCACAATAACACCCATTAAATACAACGAGGAAGAAAGACGGCGCTGTAATTTAAATCCCCTCCTCCTCTGCCTCTTTACATCATCGGGTTTGAGCTGCGAGCGGGACGCAGACGCCGATGGAGGAGAAAGAGGCGGATGAATGTGGAGCTTCAAAGCACGGCGGCTCTTCAGGGGAATAATCAGCCGGCTCAGGGCGGCTTAGCGCGGCTAACAACGCTTTCTACAAAAAACCTTCATCAAACCTTCATCAAACCAGAGGCGAGAGCAGAAAACAGAGATGGAGATGTGGGTTTGAATCCTCCGCCTTCATTCAGCTTTGAAAGAAGCGGCTTCACCATCTGAAGTTTATGTTCAATTTACCACAGAATGGCACAAATTGAAATTATGAAGATATTATATATTCGCTTAATGGAAACACAGCAAAAAAAAACTAATGTTCTAAGATTAAAAAATGTTTTTTCAGCCATATGGAAACAATTTTCCGTATCATAGGAGTCGCATGATCAACAGCTGGATGTTACTACTGGTGAAAACGACAAAGAAAACAGGAAGTGGTAGTGGAATGGGTTTTGATTTTTTGGGGGTGCAATGTGTAGTTGTGTATAATTCCAACATGTTGAATCCATTGCTTTTCTATAAAATGGCCAACTACAATTTTTCCAAAATGCTGCATAAGCCTCAATAAGACGCTTGTTCAGATTGATCATGTGACTTTTTATTCAAAGTATTAGTTGGCTTCTTCCCTGATTGGCTGATAGATAATTAGCCTTAGTGCCTGAATTAGCGGCTGAATTATGAATATAATCTCATCTAACTGTTTACATCCTTCGTCACTGGTTTTTAATGACTTATAGTGTGAACAAGCTCATTGAAGTGTGATTTTAATAAAATGTCTTATTTAATGGGAACACCACAGTTGTGAAAATGTTTTTTATTAACGTTATCAGAGATTTGTGCATATTTGTAATTGAAAAACACAATTTTGCAATTGTGTTGTTTAAATAGACGCATTTAAAGTCACACATGAATAAGTTTGTTCACATTAGAAGTAATGAAAAACATGAACTTCATACCCCTTCCTGTCATGTTCTTCGTCTTTTCTGCCAGTAGTAACATCCGGGTGTTGATCACGTGACTCGTGTGATGTTTCCATTGCAGTTTTGCAAAATACACAAACTTTGATTCAGCCATAAAACCACCTAATCTTAGCACAATACTTTTTAGCTAAAAACGCTAAATAAATACTGCCGTTAGAGGGGCTGTATTATGCATTTTGAAAGCATAAAGTGCCATTTTATAGCACAAGCGAGTAACTGCTACCTTCTGTTGTTATAAAAATGTATATGACTTAAAAGAAATTTGACTTCATAACTCAACACCTTGAATTTGGGCCTCTGTTTCTTTAAGAAGCTCCTGCTCTCTCTGAAGCTCCGCCTTCATGAAGACATCACAACCTGGCTCCTCTGTTAACCCTTCAACAGCATTTTATCAGCATTTCACTGAGAAGTAGCTCCTATAATGAGCTCAGCTGATGTGCAGTTCCCCAGGTGTTTGCTAATTGCTGCTGGCTAGTCTGAAGGAGCTGAGTGGGGCAGGGCTGCTCTGTGGGGTGGAAACATTTTATATTTGTGCCTCTATCATTTTAAAGATATTAATAAAGGGTCATCGAAGGTCAACCAGCCAGTCCACAACAAAAATTGGAGTCAATCAGTTGCGCTTCGTTTGTGCAGCAGAAATTTTCATTTGTGCCGTTTTAATTTGTAATATTTATAAATGAAAATCTGAGCTTAACATAATCTTATTATATTTTCTTTAACTTTTTTTATTACTCCTGAATAAAACAAAATGTATTACTGCCGATAAACTGAAGAGATGAGATGCATCACACCTGTTGTGACATTTTTATTTTACGTTTACCAAACAGTTCATACTTTGAATAAAACGTTACATGATCAGTCTAAACATGAAACTCTAAGTAAAAGACGTTTTCCCAGCACTTCTGTGCTACATGTTGCCTCTGATTCCAGTTTTAGGCTCCTGAGGGGAAAAACTCTGCAGAAAGAACACCAACAGATGGCCATTCTTGAATAACAGCTCAATGTGGCTAATGAAACTTTTAAGATGTCGTTAAACGTTTAACAAAACTCACTTGACATCGCTGAGCTCAGGCTCTCCGGGCAAAATGGAGATAAGGATGTTAAAGACGCTGCTGGTCACGTAGGATTGCTTTCCCTCGTTTTCTGTTGTTTTCATGAGAAAAGCAGCAATTACAAGAACACAAAAAGGACGTGAATGGAGGGAGAAACGGCGCTTAAATAAATTATGTGAGTGATAATCTGAGGAGAAAGCAGCTCCATCGGACATATGGCCGAGTGCTGCAGGATGGAGGGTTTTTCATGGTCTTCACTCTATTACAAGGATTAGAGATGCAGGGAGGCCGACACACACACACACACACACACACACACATCGAGGTGCATTGGTCTTCTATTCCTGTGTGATGGTTAAACCACCAAAAAGAGAGTTTATTCCAGGCCCATAAAACATTTTGTGCATTTTGCTCTAAAGACGAACCTGAAATACGTGACAATGAAAATGTTGAGTCCGATTAATGTTTAGTTCATTTTCATTTATTTAAATAGCACTAATTAAAGTTGCAGCTTGTAACATTTATAAACGAATATTTTGTAAAACAAATTTGTTGAACTATCACTGTGTTTAACATGAGATAATCTGTGGGGAAAAAAAATCAAGCTTCTCTGTGTCTGATACTGTCCGCAGAAATGCACTGCTTCATTTCTGAAACAACCAATCAGAGCCAGCGGGAGGGTCTTAGCGCTGTCAATCATGCTCGTGTTCGCATCCATCCAGATATCTGAGAAACACAAACTTGAATTTGAACAAAACTAAACCTGCAACTAAAATAATTACTGCAAAAGCCAAACATAATCTTAAAGCTTTGCTTTAAAAGTCATTAAGACACATAATACATGTGAAGTATACATTTTATTATAAATGTATACTGTAATATATTCGTTATTGAGTCTCATTATTAATACATGAGGTCCCAATAATTTTGAGGGAATTCAGTGTTTAGTTTATGACAATATCTGATCATTTATTTAGTTTTTTATTAGTTATTTGTAATTTGTTCATTATATTTGTGTTGTAACAGAAACTAGACTTTTTATTTGCATCTGGAACCACTGGACCCAAATCATGGATTTACCTCCTTCTCAGCTGACCTACTGCAGCAGAAATGATAAAACATCTCCGCCTGGCTACTGAAATGTTCTGCATCCTTCAAAATTTTAAAGTCCACGGTGTTGATGCACTCTTGAAGATCTCATCAAGACCCTCCAAAGACTTTTCACACTCCCAAGTGCTTGAAAAAAACACCATCAAACTGTTTTTTGGCAGTAAGTAAAAGGTTTTTTGGTGTCTGGAAAATGAGCAGTTTAAAAACCCTCCGCAATGTAATGTCAAGAATCAGCAGGCACTTCCCCGTTACCTAGCAACCCCAGCAGAGTTCCATCGTTTCCTGGCAACCCAAACAGAGCTCCAGTATGTTTGGTCAGCTGGTTGTACTGCTGTATGTGCTCTACAATGGCTGCTAGAAAAGACAAGTGTTTTGTTGTTGACTTACCATCCAGAAACCACTTGCTGCACTCTTGTTGGTTGCGCAGGAGGCTCCACTTCTGCTTTTCAAAGATATGTGATTGTATCATTGTGCGTCTGTTTGCAGCCATTTTCACATACAAGTGTAAATGTTGAGTTTGAGGGCGTGGCCAGAAGCAGCTTGACAAGACGCTCTAAAACAGCTCAAAGATAGGCAGAACCAAACAGACTAAAATCTGATTATGAAGAATGATTTTGTGCAAAAAATTTTAATAAATATCCTAATCTGTTCAATGAGGCATAATGGGTCACCTTTGATAATGACCCATCATCTGGCAGCAGTAGATGATTGAAAAACTTTATTCTGAAGAGTTATTAGCTGGCTGCTAATCTACAGCATCTCAACAGGAAAATGTTGGAATGAAACCTGAAGAATCTGCAGAATCAGATTTATTTGCTTCTGTTCATCTGTCAGTGGAGAGACGTTTCTGGAATCGGTGTAATAACAACAAACAGGTGGAAGGTCAGAAATAAAAACCCTGAGGTTGGACTTTGATGAGCGGTGGAGCGAAGAAGCACCTGGACCTGGGAGGGAGGCAGGGATTTCCACATTAGCTTCCCCTCTTTCTCCGGACGGACCCCCATGAAATCACCCCTTAAGTAAAGGATCACTCACCATGAGCGTGTGGCCATGCTGGTAAAGCCCGTGGTAAATCGAAACCATTACTGTCTGGTGCTGAAAAGGCAGAACTAAAGACCGTCCTGTGTCCCACCACTCGCTGCTGGCTTTCTAATGCAACAGCTGTGTGTGTGTGTGTGTGTGTGTGTGTGTGTGTGTGTGTTCACACCGCGACAGTGTGGACCTCCTTCCATTAAAAATACAAAGGAATCAGATAAAGTAAAATAAGTGCAGCCTTTGAGGAAAGTCTTTAAAAAGACACATTTCCTTGTATATTTAGGTCAAATATTACACTTTATTTTGAAGGGAAGGAATTGTATCAGTGACAAACACTTTAAACTCTGTAATTGATTTAAAAATGAATGAAACATGTTTAGGAACTAAATAATGAATGGAATAGAAAATATGTGCTTATGTGCTGACAACTACTCCATCCAAAGTGTTAAATATTGGTAAATAAATAAAATATCATAAATAAATAAAAAATCAGTAATGCACATTAAAATGTTAAATAAATGAGCCCAGAGATCACTGCTTAATATGTTTTTTTGTCAGAGTTTGAGCAGAGAATCAAATAAAAAGGAGGAACTGTTCCAAACAAGTTCTCTTTTAATATACATAATTTTAAGTGAAAAAAAAAACTTAATAAGGTTTTACATTGCAGTTAAATCCAGACCTAAATCCAGATCTAATCTAATCTGTATTAGAATTTGAAAATTGCTGTTCACAGTTGAACTTCATCTAATCTGACTGAGATGAAGGTATTCTGCAAGGGAGAATGTGCAAAAACAAAAAAAGATAATTTATGGTGATTCAAGTCAGTCTTTCAGTGAAAGATGCTTAAGTTCAAATTTATTTGTCTAGCCAATTTCAGCAACATGTTCCGGGTTAGTGTCGATTTGTGCCACTCTTTCCTGATGTTTTGTCTTTTTGTGTCTCATTTTTGATCTACTCACATCAAATCCCAATAAAAACCAGAGAGTACCAAAGAATTATAATCAAGTAAGATTAGCACTTCAACAAGTTTTACTCAAGTAAAAGTAAAAAGGTATTTGGTAAAAAGTCTACTAAAGAACTGAGAAACAGATCAAATTATCATTTAATATTTAAAAATTATATAATCAGATGGACCAAAATATAAAGTTAAGTGGAAATTTGGGTATTTTGGGGATGAAAATTCATCTAAGTAACAGAAAAATAGCAAAATCAGGCTAAAAAATAGTTTATTTCAATATAAAACTTATGAAACTTTAACAAAAGCTGCAGGTGTGTGTCTGTATTTGGTGAAATTTTGTTTTTTTGCTCAAAAAAGTTACTCAAGTAAATGTAATTGAGTAAATGAGTACGTGACTGATGAAAACCCATTAAAGTTTTGTGGCTTTGACCCATTTTTAACACCTGGCCGCCCGCTCCGTCTTCCTGTTTCTGTTTTATTCTCTCTTTCATGTCTTCACCAACAAACTGAGGCCTTTCTTCCGCCCTCGGCCCTCCCGTCCGGTCTCTCCGGCCCAGCCATGTATGACAGATATGGTTGATTGTGAGCAGATCATTGAGGTGAATGGATTCAGTGGAACCTCCCATTCAGCTCACAGTCGAAGCTTTCAAAGGAACCCTGATATGGAAAAAATGGGGAAATCCTCCTGGCTGCTCCTTTATTCTGAAGGCTGTGTGCGAGCTGCTGACTTTAGTCCATCTGAAATGATCAAGTAAAGCTGAAGTAGGAAGTAGCATGAATGTCCCTCCTAGTGGGCACCATGACCGTAATCTGTTGTGTCCATGCACGCTCGCTGGGGGCTCAAACATCTGAAAACAGGAAATGAAAAAGTCCTTTTGACTCTTTCTTCAGCGATAATGAAGTTTGTAGCGTCAGTGCTGATTTTCTCCAAAGACTGTCGGCCTCCTTGTAATATGAAAAGCGTTCAGTTTTCTATGAATGGACATTTAAATGAGTCATTGGAGAGATTTGAATATCGTCTGTAAAGTTCTGCCCTCAGCTGTCAGTGTTGGAAACTGTCACAGTGGGACTCCATGTCGACTTTATGTTTGGGACTTTCAAACATGATGTCAGGAGGACCCTGACATGTTATTGTTTACATCTGGGAATTTCACGCGTGGGCAGAACGCTGGAGGGCAGAAAAAGACGATTCTTTTACATGCCATGGTTCCTGGAAGATAAGTCAAAAACCGAACACCTGTCTTTTCCAGCAGTCATTATACAGCAGTGAAACCAGCTGACCAAAGGTGCTGGAACTCAGCTGGGGTTGATAGGTAACGGACAGAGTTCCACAGGGGTTGCTAGGTAACGGCACAGTGTCCGTCGAATGTTACAGAAGTTTCTAAAACGGCTCATTTTCCAGACACCAAAAACCATTAACTTATTGCCAAAAAACAGTTGGGTGAGTTTTTTTAAAGCGCTTCAGCAGATTTTAGATGCAGTAAAAACTAAAATGGAAGAATAAAAACGTGCAAAATGTGAATTTATTATATTAGATCCCCTTTAAAATATAGAAAATAGCCATATAAAGTACAGATGCCTGATCTGTGAGGATTGAATAAAATGAGAAATGTTACGTAAAAGTTTACCTAACTGGGTATTTGCCCCAACATTAAAGACAGACATTTTTACACCAGATTTAGTTGAGTTTATGTCCCGTCCACGTGAATCGGTCTGCTCTGCAACGGATCACGGGAGTCAAACGGCTCTCAGACAGTTGAATTTCCCTCGTTCTCGTTTCTTCATCCTCCTGAGAACGGTGACAGAAGCAGATGCCGGCGATGTGACGGATAGATTTCTGTTTCCCACAGCGGAGCTCCTGCCTGTCAGACTATATGAGCACCAGATCCCTGGCTGGGTTGGATCTGACTGGATTAGCTGTTTCCTGCCCAGACACAATAGAGTACAGCAGGAACCCAGATCAAACCCCACACACGCAGCTACATGTGCAAGGCCGTGCATATCATAACATGTGCATGTGCGCATTGGTGTGTGCGCACATCGGGAGCAAAGAGCCGGGCTAAAGGGCCGAAAGCCAACAAAGAACAAGGAGAGGGAAGCAGCAGGAAGCTGACTAGTCACTTTATCCGCCTCGCGCTCTCCGTGCTCGTGCAGACGGCGAGATCAAGAGGCAGAGATGAAGTTAAAATCAAAGGTTGCAGCTTGGGTTTAATCCAGAGTGAGAGAGGCAAGGGGGAGAGGGCAGGAGGTCGGTTCAGGTTTAAAGAGAAGCAAAATAAGAGAAGCGATAATTTTCAATACTTAGATTAGATAGTCTGTCTCCTTCCAAGTCCTTGCATTTCAGACAGACAAAATACCATCTTAAGACTTTTTTAAAGTATCAAATTAACAAATGTATCAAGTGGAGGCACATCAATTCATCAGTTAGTTTTTTCAGCTTACAGATCTGCTCTGCACACTGCAAAAACTCAAAATCTTACCAAGTATTTTGGGTCAGGTTTCTACTGCAAATATCTTATTACACTTAAAATTAGACAAAACTAAAAAGTAACCTTTTGTCAAAAATATAGGGGCTTGATTTAAGTCAATAATTCCTTAATATTGATGAAAAAGTGCTCATTTCACTGGCAGATCACTTTCCAATAATATAGTCTGCCAGTGAACTTTTTCATCAATATTAATGAATCATATACTTAAAACAAGCTCATTTATTGTGACGAAAGGTTACGTTTTAGTTTGGTCTTGTTTTAAATAGTTACTTTAAATAGTAAAGTGAAAAGTCACTCTTCAGATATTTACATGGAAACTAGACCCCAAAAATTCTTGGTTAGATTTTGTGTTTTTGCAGTGCAGGAACCTCCTCAAGGCCAGACCGAACAACTTTCTCTGTAAATGTCAAGTTGCCATATCAGACTGTTTGATGAAGAAAATGGGGTTGAAACAATTAATCGTGATTAATTGATTAATGAAATAGTTGTCAGCTAATTTAGTAAACAAATAATCGTTAACATGCAGATTCTAAAATATGACATTTCTGAAAGCACACTCTCAGAGCAGAAATTATGCAAAAACTGCACGAAAAATAAATACATTATGCATTTAAGATAAAAGAAAAACATTGTCTGTAAATATGTTCGACCCAGAAGTTTTAGCTAAACATGATTCAAATTCTCGCCTTTTATAGTCCACTTATTAATCAGTTAATCCAAAAGCTACAGTGACTTGAAGTCAAGCAGAATGGCTGAGCTTTTCACATGTTGATGTTACAAGTATTTATTTATCTGCATCTTTTGCTACGAATGATCAAACGTTCAATAAAGGAATGCTGTTATTGCATCTTAGGCTACAGAATTATTATTTTATTATTTCAAAGATGAACTTAATTATTTGCATTTTCTTGTGTATTTCTAATATTGTATAAAAAGGCTAAAGTAGTTAA